CCGCGTGCTCTCATAATATCGTCAAAACAAGCATGTTAATTAATGCGTTCGAGACAACCGATCAACAAGATTCGCGCTAACATATTTTCTATAGTCGCACATCTAGACGCACGCGCGTCATAATGAAGGTATTTATGTGTAAAGAATTGCGTATACATTTTGCATAGAGAGATTGCAAAACGCTGTTATCGATTTCTCGTCTTGTTCATCGCTGAAAAATCGTGTTTATCGCTGAAGTCTTGTCAAGTCTGAGGAATTCGCAAGGTTACAAGTTCTTAGGTATGTCGTTTTTTTTTTCGCAAAATAATTTGCAAAAGAGAGATGCACAAATTTAGGCAACTATTTATATTTTCTAGAAGAAGACAGTGTACTCTCTCTCTCTCTCTCTCTCTCTCTCTCTCTCTCCTAATTTATCTTTTAGCTAATTATCTTCTTAGAGCTAAATATAGATTTCTAACTGGATCTTGCTACAGCGATACAGCGATTAGATTAATGCTATTCCGCGCGATCGTTGACATTTCGAATGCAGAACGATTACGTCTTACAATGTGTCACATGTGTTTCAGATTGAAATGAAATCGTTTTACGCGTGGAATCGACTGGTTTCGTTAATTTATTATTGTTGCGTGCGCGCGCCGTTATTAATATTTTTCTGACGTATGATAATAATTTTGCGCTAACGATAAGCGTACGTATATAATCAGAAACGGCAGATTCTACTTTTTTTTCTATTTGAAATTACCAGACGTCCGACACGATTTTTTTCCTGTCAGACAAAGTCTTTGACGTTTTTGTTTTTTGAATGTCGTTAACAGTTTTTTGCTAACGTATCTCGCAAAACTAACAAAGATTAAATCGTAAAACATGTTTACGTTCAAATAAGCCAATAAATAAATTAATTGCGTCGTATATTTTATGTATTAATTATAACGTTTTTTAGTTTTACTAAAACAACGCTTCAATTGAAATGACAAAAAAAAACTTCTTCTGTTAGGTTATGTAAAAATTTATGTAAAATTTATTATGTAAATTTTTATAATATTCAAAGATAAATATATTAAAAAAATATATATTCTAAAAAAATAATATTTTAAAGTAAATTATTTGACTGCTTATTTGCAATTTAATTTATTTTTACGAGCAGACAAACTTGATGTTTTTGTGTTTACAGATTCGAAATTTTTGCGACACACATTGAATTGAAAATATAACTCAACGGTTTCGCGATCGCGACGTGAGATCATCGAATTGTATGATGAGAAAATTACGATTGTTCTTCGGACAATTGATTATTTGTATTTTGGAGTCTGCGTAATCGATCACTATATTATCGATGCACATTGTTATGTAACTTCTCTTCTATTTCAATTGCTCTCGTCTCTTTCTAAAGAGGTTGCGACACTCGAAGAGGTCGTGCGCGCGCCGAGGAGAGAAGACACGTCGATTCCTCTTCTTATTCTTTTTCCGCGAATGGCGTCGCGGGATCGGCACGAGAATGGCGCAAGTACGCCTCGCGATCATCCGTGACGAACGACGTTAGTCACGAGCCAATTTCATTCCGGCTTCCTTTCGCCTCCTCGTTTCTCAGCCGAACACACGGCAAAAGAAACTCTTTTTCCCCCGACATCGTTCGGTCGTCGGCAGCGACTTTCTTGGCAGCTCAAACTGGCGTGAGTTCCCTTTGCGTAATTATTGACAGATTTAGAGTGAGTTGTGCCGGATGACGCACGGTTTCTCACATGGCTCATTTCCAGCCTCTTTAGTCATGACGCATTATGTATTCGATGCTTGTCGAATCGAAATGTATTTTGGATGAAGATCGAAGTTCGGTTTAAATGAATATATATATATATATATATATATATATATATTTGGCAACATAACAACAACACAAAAACAATTCTTGAGAAATTCCTGGGTATAATGTGTTTCCTTAATTAGGAGAGTTTTTTACATTCCATTAAGCGCATCAATTCTACTTGAGCGCATTAATATTAATTGTCCTCTTATGCGAATGAGAAATAAGTAGACGCATAAAGAAACGCATTTCTTACAATTTCCAAACATATTTCTTTAAAATTTATTCATAAGAGAGCGAAATAGCTATGCAGAAACTTCAGATATCAATATACATCAAGCATCTAAATACTTATGTAAAGTAAAAATGATTTTACTCATTGACTTTGTATACTAATGAAGATCAGACTCATTAGTATTTCGTGTTAGTATCTCCGTTGACACTCTTATAAGCCTTATTTGAATTTTTAATTTGAGAAAATATATACAAATTATTCTGTCTTTTACGGCACTGGATTTAATAGCAACGATTGTAGCCAAGATCCCGGTAATAAATGCGCCGCGAAAATAATCACGTATTAGCGTACGTGTTGCTGGAGAGATCGTGTATATGTGTATGTGTTTGTGTGTGTGTGTGTGTTTGGCGTGCGCGGCCACCTAATACCCGGCGTGTACGTGACACGCGTGCGTACGCGCGCGCGACGGCGATCGCGTGCGCGCGTGTGCGCCGGCTCGCATTAATGCGGCGATCGGGGCCGTGGGAATGAGCGAGTAGCGCGCGAGCGAGCGAGCGTTCCGCTTGGCACGAGCGCGCGGGCCCCCGCGACGAGAAGGGAGATACGCGGGCGCCGTTCACTCCACGAAGGACAGCAAAGGCCGACGACTATTCGAGCGGGAGAGGAAGTGGTAGCCGATTCCGCGCGCTGACACGTGTGTGTGTGTGTGTGCGCTTTTCTCTCGCGCCGAGAAATGTCAACTGAGAAAGTAGAGGCGATTATTCGCCGCCGAAAGCGCAACCGGATTTAGGTATCACTTTCGCTACCACATTTCGCGGCGTATTATTATTATTATTATTTTTTTAAATTATTATCTTTACGCGTATGTTACGTTATGTTGCAGATTGAATTGCTCTATGAAGAAATGTAGGTATAAAATCGTTGAAATCAAAAAAATCGGAGCGGAGATGATTATCTTACGGGATTTTTTAGAATTCGTCGGGTTCGCATGTAGAAGCATCGATTGTCACAGCTCCACTTTACGTAATTTATTTTCTCCTGTACTACTACTAGAATTTTCTGAGCAAAATAGAACTGCTTCTGTATGTGTACCACTTGAATACAAATTTCCGATTACATAGATCTCAAGAAAAGTAAGGCTACTTATGCGAACTGTTTTTCCTGATACGCGAATTGCTACCGAGAAAGTGGCGTGATGAAAGAAAGTACGAAGTAAATCGTCATCCGCTATATGTCGAGAATGTAATTACGTTTATTACGCACGTCATGTTGTTTTGCAGCAAAAAAATATGTATTTCGCGCACGTTTTTTTGGCTATCAAATTTGTTTTCTGGCGTTTTAGAAATGAATGCAAGCTCGACGTAAACGCTCGCGTGAGATTTCGCGTCGAGTTTTGTCACAACAAGCATATGTAAGATACGCGATAACGAGACGACGCGACTTCTTTTGTTACAAGTTCAAAGAATATCTCGAATACCTTTCATAGATTTCCAGCGAGTGCAAGTGTGTTCTCATCGTGCGAACATAACACGCGGCGACAAGCCGATTTTGTACAAGGAAAAATTCCTGCGCAGACACTTTAATCACTGTAATTACGAAAAAAAAAGTATCGAACAGTTGCGACACACTCGTTTCGTCCAATTTACGCGGTCCGGATAGCCGTGAGAACATAAATGAGGTAAGGAATCGTGGTGGGGCGAGAACGCGGTATGAGGATAATGAATTAATTTAATCGACGTGTCGCGATGTCGCCGGTGAAAATAACTCGCGTAATTGATACATTCGAACCTTTTTTTCGGCGCGTCATGCCGCGCCTGACCTCCTTTAGCAGTGAAGCGCTAAAGAAAGCCTCGATGCCCCTGCAAATGCAGGCCCGCGTCTAACGCAGGGTTGTTCGAAGGGTTGCCTGTCCTACAGGCTGTACGTATTCTAATCAAGGAAAGATCTCAGACAATTTTATTGTCATTTATGTATTAATATTTTTTTATGCATTATTTTGTTATTTTAATCGCTTGATTATTTTGCTTTTAACCGCAAGAAATATCGCGAGGATTTATTTAAGAACTTAATTATTTTGCAATGCTTTTGATTTTTAATTCATTTGTTGCAGAAAAGTAAATATATTTGATTATTTTTTTTTTATTTATCTGCATATTAATAATACAGCTTTAAGACAGTGCGAAACAGATAAATTGTTCATCTGTTTTTATTCACAAGTTGTCGCAGCGTCAGCTGATGCAGCACTTTACGGTTGAGTGTCTATTAAGTAAACGAAATACATTAGCTTTCATCGAACAATACAATAAATTATTCACCCTTTCGATTATTCTATTATACTTCGATATACGGTTACTGATTCGCTTGATATCTTCTATTATTTTTTTAGCTCAAGGGTCGCACAGTCACCCTCGTGTCTGCTATGGAAAATCATGCGAATTCGCACGCACCCCCTATCTCATCTTTGTTATAGACGTGTGTCACATATGGACAACACATGTGTGTAACATCGATCTATATCTGTGCAGCAGTTCAAGTTAAATGAACTATTGTTTATTGTATTTGTTCGTCGCGTAGTTCTGTAATTTATGTAAGAGAGAGAGAGACACATAAAAAAAATATCTAACAAAATATTCCGAAGATGAAATACTTTTGTTTGGAATTTTTTTGAATCTGTATCGAAATGCCTGTCTTGAATTTGTAAGAACTTTTTCAGATCGCTGAAGTTTTTTGACACTTGTCTTACATTTATTAAAAGGATCGTTAACTTGTTTATTGACATTTACAATGTTGAAAAATCTCAAGTGAATTTTTTCTAAAGAGGCTTCTTAAGTGTATATTTTTTTTAGTGAATTCACATTGTATATAATTTTATTTAAAATATAATTAAATAAAAAAATATGTTAAATATTATATTTACTTAAAATTAAGTTATAGGAGGGAATGAGATAAATTGATACAAGGTATATATATTTGCTTATTAGTAACATTTATTTCAAAACAAACATATTGGAAGACATGTAGGAAAGTGTCAGCGCTGCTTGCTGACGTTAAAGCCGATATCACAATATCGAAATAATACTAAAATCTGTGTATATATATAAGGTACAAATATATCACAAAAACGTGCGACTAATGTATGTGTGTGTCTGTGTATGTGTCGCAATAATATAATAAAAAGAGAAAAAAATATGACACGTCTTTCTTCAAGTCATTGACTTTCATTACGTCTAGGAGGCATGTGTCAATTTTGATTAGTTGACAAATTAAAATCAAATCTAAATCTAACAATCACAGTTTTGAAGTGTCTTATCTAACCCTCTTGTTACATCTTGACAGCTACTGAAGTCCTTAAATCTGAGGACGCAGTTGATGTGAACGTTTCCTGGACGCAGTAGACAGTTCAGCGAATCTTGAATAACCAGTCCTCGGACGATTCGCCTTGAGGTAGATGTGGTTGTCCTCAATGACAGCGGCGGCATCTTACGCCGCTTGCACCTCCGGCAACTGATGCTGCGAGAAGGCGCGCTCCTTGTAGCATAGATCTCTGTCGGCCATGCTCAGGGTTGTCCAGTAGAAGTCGCCGGCGTGGGTGTGAGCGAAATGCACCGGCACGTAGCACTGACCAGGCACAACCGGCACGACAGTCATCTGTCCGTCCAGACAGACGGTGATGGCGGCACCTTCCTCAGCATCCCGCAGCTCCTCCAAGAGCCTGCGCTCCAGCGCCTCATTGGAGTTGTTCTGATTCTCGATCTCTTCGCTGAAGATCTCCACTTGGGGCATTGCCTCCTGACACTTCCGGGTGCTGACGTACTTGCTAGTACGCTTCTTCAGCATCCGCAGCAGCGGCTTGAGCGGCCTCAGTGTCTTCGGGATACGCTTCTTCTTGCTCACGGTCTTATTTCCCGACATGAGATTGTAGAGATTGTCGTTGAGCTCGTTCTCGAATTCGTTGTTCACGTCGTGCAACACGTGCTCGATCATGATGGGGGCAGCCATCTTTAACCTCCTTTTGCGTTGTATCTCCGGTACTTCCTCTCCCTCTTGAACCACGGTACACTGAACCGGTTTCTTCCGTTGAAACTGTCGAAACTCGGCACACGTGGCGTCGCGAACTCGTTCGTTCGACAAGGAACTTGGCGGGAGAGATGTGGAAGTGGTAGATGTGTACTTGGTGAATGTGCTTTTGGGCAAGTTGCTTTGGAGCGAAACGCTAGTGAGCGAATGATGCCTTAGTACGAGCAACCCCGTCTTTATATAGCCCCGCCGAGGCTACACGGGGTAACAGAGTGGGGAAGGCAGGTGCACTCTGGCTGTGGGAACTCGGAGAATTCGGAGCTTCCCACGTCAGGATCCACGCCGACCATCTGCCGGTCTTCTCCCTCCTCCCTCGCCGCCCAGCGCCTACTACCTATCTCGGTTCCTTGCCAGCACCCTGTTTACAGAATTCTCTCTGTGCTAGGCACACACATACACACCCTCGAGATCACCCCCGCCCGATTATCGTAGTGGATTTTCTCCTTCTTGTTTCTTCATGGGTTTTGATTTCTTAGGCTCTCTAAGAGGGTTCTCTTTCTCTGGTATATACAGTCGGAATATCTCTAAGCACTACGAAAAGGGGATGGTGTTTGCTCCTTTGAGACTGGTACGAACCTGTTGCGACACGTTCGTGCACGTCACGCGAGCTTGCGTGAGGCGCGACAGATTTTGTCGTCGACTTTACGGAATTCAACTTGTTGCATTTGTGCTTGAAGCTGCCAAAAGTCGAGGGTGACAAGAGATCTTGTTAGATATGACACTGGTAATAATAAAACTAATGACATACATTATCGTAATTCATTTGTTATAACATTCTATCATTTTTTTAAATCAAATATTTGAATTTGCATTTTATTGCAATTATTATTAATTGAATAATTCAGCATATCTATTGTTTTATACAGATCTCAATGATCTTGCTTGAAAAATGAATAATCCCAGCTGCGATCGTTGCTAAGAATTTTTAAGCCAAGGGGTTAGTATATAGCTAGCCGTTAAGTTATGGCAATTAACGTGCGGTAATAACGTGGCTTCGCTTTTTTTTCATTACTCTACCGTGCTCAAGAGATTTAAAGCCGGCAAACGTCTAGACGCTTCTCTCATGATAGCCGCCAACCCTTGCTATTAAATACGCCTCCGACCAGAGTTTTTGTTATCTCGGAACGCAGCCCCTTGTCTTCATGACACGATCACGACGCACGTCCATTAGCTGTACCGTCATAAAAAAAGTTTCGTGTGGCGACGAATTTTTTCTCCCCTATCTCGCGCCCTACGAATTGCCGAGTCTTCTTTTTTTTTTTTTTTTTTTTTGTACGCAGTAGTTTTTTGACAACCTGTTTTGTACGATGCGGTTGTCAGGTGAAAGTAAATAGATATGTTAGCCTCAATAGATAATTCTACCGAATGATCGTGTATGTACAATTAACATATTTTTTAATGTACTTGGTTTTGTATTAATTTTTAGACGCAATTAATTAATAACTTTATTTGAAAAAAATTAAATGTATACATGTATGGTAAAAGTAGAATTATATATATTTAACGGCATTTGTGTAATTGGTACACCTGAATACTGAGGAAAATCTATTGAGGGTGAAAGCGATCCGAGGGGTCAAACTGTGCAAGCCCGTTGCGGGCAAATTTTTGATCCCCTCGAAGAACAGGTACATTTGAATTATTTGTCTTCACTTGCGTGCGCTTCGGACTACAAAACAGGTGAAACAAATCTCGAAGTCTTTAAACGCAATTTACCAGTTGATGGGATACGATTTTATTTGCTTTTAGCTTGATTTTAATTTTTTCGATAATTTTACAAAAGCGAACAGTAAATATTTTATGTTTCTTAAGAAGTACCGACATGTGCTAATTAAACAGATGAATATATTTATGTGCATTCACATTTCAGTTGTGAATATTTTTTTTCTATCAACACGCTTTGTACAAAAAATTTTGTCTTATCTTCGATTGATTATCTTGAAAGTTTATTGGTCATCTAATCACGTGTAACATAACCGTTTCACCTTCGTTTCTAATTTGTAAGCAAACCTCGCTCTTTTTGCCTCGTTCTACATTTAGTCGAAAAATCGTCGACCTTTCGCGCGAACGGGGAATTTTAAAAGTGTCGTGGATCATTGGGCATATCGATCGACTGGTTTCACCCACGTGGTCGCCGAGTCAGTGAAGTGTGTCGCGTGCGCACACTGAATACTATACCTACCCACGAAGTCGTAATGTCGTGTCAAAAGTCTGTCATTTCCGACGAAATAAAATTACTATGCAAAAATATAAGCAGTTGTAAAATCACACACAATAATTTGCATTAAAAATAGCTATTGTGTTTGTTGTCGATTTATTAAATTAAATCTGTCACGCGACTCGCGTGAATGCTGGCTTTACATACGGTGGAAACGCGAATTCGCGCGCCTTGTATTATCGTCGCCCAGATAGCAACCAGGCGAGTCTCTAATGAAAATTGAGGAAACAGATAATTTCGCGCGTTTCCTCTTGTTGTGGCCGCGGATTTAAACCGGTTTGCGAGCAGATCCGCGGATGTTCTGATCTAACAGTCTTGCTTTTAACGCTCTTAACGCTCAACAGTCGGCGGAAATAAGATTTTTCGCGGGATCTTACATTTTACGCCAAGAGATCCCGATGGGACTTCACAAATAGTTTTCAAAATGCGCGAACACCGTTAAAGTTCAATTAATTCAGAGAACACGGCGTCGTCTTGATTTAAAGTCGCCGTGTTTTCACGCATGTTGTCTCGACGACGAGATTTACATGAAATTAATAATTCATGATCGTATTACGTGTCCACAAATGTAACGACACACTAGGAGAGAGAACCGTCTTCCGCCGGGTCTCTTAAGAAGCTCCGTACGCGCCATATATTTCCAGTCAAAAATGTATACTCGTACATATTTTATTGCGTCAATAATGACAAATCGCACGGCGAAATGGAGAATCATCACGGCGCGTGTGGTGTAACAACTTTGAAAATACGCTTCTTGAGCGTAATGTATCGCTCTGGTTCATTAAGCCAGCGAACAGCTTGGCATAAATTCTGCATCGCATTCAAACGGCGTCTTTACCTCGGCTTCTTGAAGATTTATCGATGTTGTTGCCTCATCTCGAAATATCATTGAAATGCCTGAAATTTTATATTGAAAACAATTTAATTTTTCTCGAAAATTGCGAAGACCGCATAGTAAATTTAATTTTATATACGCGCGGGAATCGCGCTGCCCGCCGGTGACTCGGCGCGCAGAAGCGACGCGTTATATTCCTATATTTATCCGCACCTTAGACAGGGGGGTATTAGATTATGCAAATCACGTGCGGGACGAGAAGTGTCGCGGGTCCCATCAGATAAAACGTTATTCCGGAGGTGGAGCGTGGCGATTCCCCCTTCACGTTCGGCCGTGGCAAACATTAGAGGTGAGCGATATGACACGATCTTGATTAAAATGCTACCTCTGGCATTCCGATGCGCGATAATATCGCTTATCGCGTCATTAAGCAGCGAGAAAAAGAATTCGCGAATGTCTGAATAATCAGGCTGAACGCACGTCGCGGAATGCGTCTAAAAGATAGCTCGAAGTCACGCACGTGCGTTTCTTTTCTTTTTCTTTTTTTTTTTTTTGTTTAGTTATTTATAGCGTTATTTATGCGCGAAGGTATCTTCTTCGATTTCGAAAACTATATACAGTGTCGGCAATATTCACGTAAAACATTCAGCTTTACGAAAAACATCTACTAACGCACAGAAGTAATAATTTTAACGCATATTACACTTACTTATTTTTTGTCTTTCAGACTATATAAGATTTTGTTCTGTATTCTCTTATCGCGAGGAATATTATTCTAACAAAGAACTTAGAGAGAGAAAGAGAGTGTGAGAGGGAGAGAGAGAGAGAGAGAGAGAGAGAGAGCGCGCGGATCAACAGATTTATACTTTGCATAATGCTGCGTGAGATGAAAGATAACATTACAAAAAAAAAAAAAAAAAAATCACGCATTCATTTTCGATCCAACGTAGATATTGTACGAAGAGGAAGGCGGTTTCTCGTGTGGACCGCTGTGGTAAGATCTTGGCGGTTATATCAGAACGCAACTTTATATACATGGAATTTTCATTAGCATATAATTAATACGTGAGCAATGACCGCGGCGTATGTTTTCTTTGCATGTGGTCGCTGGCGTATGTGCAAGAGGCCCCGACTTGCGCGTATACAGATACCCGTTCGCGTTGATGCTGCTCGTAAACGCGGGAGAGAGAGGTGGACTCTCTCGGTGAAGTTGCGGGGGAAAAAGAAGAAAGAAGGCGAAGAAGCGCGCGCGTGCAAGCGACTAAAACAGTAGTAGTGACCCCCGGGGCTGAACAGGCCCAAACAAGAAGTCCCTTCTGACGTCACCGGCAGGTGCAAGCAAACGTGCATCCTTGTCTCGCCGAGCTCGTCTTTTCCCTCCTTTTCTCTCTTTCTCTCGCTCCCTTTCTCCTCTTCCCGCCTTGCTCTGCTTCTTTTTCTGCTTCTTTCTCTCGCGCACTCGCGTGTAATCGTGCCGATTTCGAGATCGAGATAACTCTCGACCTGCGCGCCTCGGCGCCCACCGTGAATCCGGTTGGTTTCGTTGAAAATTTCTGACGTACGTTACGCGGCTCGCTCGCTCGCTCGCTCGTTCACTCGCGGGCTTTAATTAATGGTTTCCTTTGTGGCTCATTGAGTCGGCTGTGGATAAATTGGCGAGGTGATTGCTAGGGGCGAAACAAAGGATACGCAGTATCCGTATTTCGTAACGGCGCGGAGAACAACGTGATGTACCAGTCGCGGATTATTTTCCAGAGGATATCCGGAGAGATGAAACATTTAAAATGAACTCCCTTCGGCAGAGAAAGAAGGAGAGATTTTATAACGCCTACACATGTAATTTTTTTTTTTTTTAAGATTTTTTTCTATATTTCGAGATAAATTTGATATGATTCGAGGTCAAGATTAATTTGAGTTTATAACGCCGAGTGTCACGGAAAGGTAATAAAAAAAGACAGGAAACGCTTTGTCATCGGGATTTAAAGACCGGCTGAAAAAAAAAAAAAAAAACTCGATCCTAATCTATCTCTGACGATAGTACTACATCTAATCGAAAGACGATACGATTCCACCGATGAAACAC